CACTCTCTCACACAAACACTCACTCACTCACACACACACTCACTCACACAAGCGCACACAAACACTCTCACTCCCTCTCTCACACACACACTTACTCACACAAGCACTCTCTCACACAAACACTCACTCACACACACACACACTCACTCACACACACACACTCACTCTCACTCGCTCTCTCACACACACACTTACTCACACAAGCACTCTCTCACACAAACACTCACTCACTCACACACACAAACACTCACTCACACAAGCGCACACACACACTTACTCACACAAGCACTCTCACACACACACTTACTCACACAAGCACTTTCTCACACAAACACTCACTCACTCACTCTCACACACACACACACACTCACTCACTCACACAAGCACACACAAACACTCTCACTCCCTCTCTCACACAAACACTCTCACTCCCTCTCTCACACACACACTTACTCACACAAGCACTCACACACACAAACACTCACTCACACACACACTCACTCACTCACACAAGCGCACACAAACACTCTCACTCGCTCTCTCACACACACACTTACTCACACAAGCACTCACACACACAAACACTCACTCACACACACACTCACTCACACAAGCGCACACAAACACTCTCACTCGCTCTCTCACACACACACTTACTCACACAAGCACTCTCTCACACAAACACTCACTCACTCACACACACAAACACTCACTCACACACACACTCACTCACTCACACAAGCGCACACAAACACTCTCACTCGCTCTCTCACACACACACTTACTCACACAAGCACTTTCTCACACAAACACTCACTCACTCACTCTCACTCACACACACAAACACTCACTCACACACACACACAAACACTCACTCACACACTCACTCACACAAGCGCACACAAACACTCTCACTCGCTCTCTCACACACACACTTACTCACACAAGCACTCTCTCACACAAACACTCACTCACTCACACACACAAACACTCACTCACACACACACTCACTCTCACTCCCTCTCTCACACACACACTTACTCACACAAGCACTCTCTCACACAAACACTCACTCACTCACTCACACAAACACTCACTCACACACACTCACTCACACAAGCGCACACAAACACTCTCACTCGCTCTCTCACACACACACTTACTCACACAAGCACTTTCTCACACAAACACTCACTCACTCACTCTCACTCACACACACGCTCACTCACTCACACAAGCGCACACAAGCACTCTCTCACACAAACACTCACTCACTCACACACTATCACTCACACAAGCACGCGCACACACACTCTCACTCCCTCTCTCACACAAACACTCTCACTCCCTCTCTCACACACACACACTTACTCACACAAGCACTCGCTCACACACACACAAAACATGATCACAAGCAGGACTTTTGAGTACAAGTATGTTTAGAAAGAAAGGATAGTTTAGTGTAGAGTCGTGAGAGACTGGAACCGAGATCAGCGGAGCGAGGGATGAAGGAAAGAGGAGAATATGAACCTCACGAACTTTTGTTGGTGACAGGAAACAAGAGTAATATACACTCACCGGCCACTTTATTAGGTGCCCCATGCTAGTAACGGGTTGGACCCCCTTTTGCCTTCAGAACTGCCTCAATTCTTCGTGGCATAGATTCAACAAGGTGCTGGAAGCATTCCTCAGGGAGTTTGGTCCATATTGACATGATGGCATCACACAGTTGCCGCAGATTTGTCGGCTGCACATCCATGATGCGAATCTCCCGTTCCACCACATCCCAAAGATGCTCTATTGGGTTGAGATCTGGTGACTGTGGAGGCCATTTTAGTACAGTGAACTCATTGTCATGTTCAAGAAACCAATTTGAAATGATTAGAGCTTTGTGACATGGTGGAAGTAGCCATCAGAGGATGGGTACATGGTGGCCATAAAGGGATGGACATGGTCAGAAACAATGCTCAGGTAGGCCGTGGCATTTAAACGATGCCCAATTGGCACTAAGGGGCCTAAAGTGTGCCAGGAAAACATCCCCCACACCATTACACCACCACCACCAGCCTGCACAGTGGTAACAAGGCATGATGGATCCATGTTCTCATTCTGTTTACGCCAAATTCTGACTCTAACATCTGAATGTCTCAACAGAAATCGAGACTCATCAGACCAGGCAACATTTTTCCAGTCTTCAACTGTTCAATTTTGGTGAGCTCTTGCAAATTGTAGCCTCTTTTTCCTATTTGTAGTGGAGATGAGTGGTACCCGGTGGGGTCTTCTGCTGTTGTAGCCCATCCGCCTCAAGGTTGTGCGTGTTGTGGCTTCACAAATGCTTTGCTGCATACCTCGGTTGTAACGAGTGGTTATTTCAGTCACTTTTGCCCTTCTATCAGCTAGAACCAGTCTGGCCATTCTCCTCTGACCTCTGGCATCAACAAGGCATTTCCGCCCACAGAACTGCCGCTCACTGGATGTTTTTTCTTTTTCGGACCATTCTCTGTAAACCCTAGAGATGGTTGTGCGTGAAAATCCCAGTAGATTAGCAGTTTCTGAAATACTCAGACCAGCCCTTCTGGCACCAACAATCATGCCACGTTCAAAGTCACTCAAATCAACTTTCTTCCCCATACTGATGCTCGGTTTGAACTGCAGGAGATTGTCTTGACCATGTCTACATGCCTAAATGCACTGAGTTGCCGCCATGTGATTGGCTGCTTAGAAATTAAGTGTTAACGAGCAGTTGGACAGGTGTACCTAATAAAGTGGCCGGTGAGTGTATATTATAGTAATTATATATTCATATATATATATATATAGCTGAAGAACTTGTGCACACACAAAATACACATACATAACCTTCATATCCTAATAAACTTCATATCCTATCGCATATCAATATCAATAGCTTAGAGCAAAACACATCAGCCAGATTCGGCTGATTCACGGGCACTTCGAGATTAACATCTCTTTGTCTATAATAACATTATTATTATATTTAGTATTGTATTTGTGGAATATATTCCAGTGCCATTAGTCAAAGAATCTGTTTCCATGAGTAAAATTGGCAGGTATAATTAAAACAGCAAACACATATCTGAGATATATGAATATAACTGTTTGGGCAAATTCTGCACTACAGAAAGTGTTTCTTTAGGAGCAGTGCACACATGTGACCAACAGCATCTCACAGAGGAACAGCTCAGCCTCAGGAATGCAGAGACACAGTGTAATCCTGAAGCTCGTGTCCTTCTGGTTATCTGGAGCATTAATGTGTGGAACTGTAATCGGTTCCAGCTTTACGGAGACATCTGCGGTGTAACGGCAAGCGATCACCGGATCGTTCTCAGGGAAATGCTCCAGATTATGTAATACGGCTGCGTCATGTTTTCTGTGCTCTAGCGCCGGACAATAAAACTCATGTTCATTTTTTTATATTTGTTGGGACTGACAGAACCACACAGCTGGAAGTCACTGAACTAAGATGCAGGAAAGTATTACACAGTAAAACAGGCGCAATGCAACAAGATTCAAGCCATGAATTGATTTCGATGAAGTCAATGTGAAACTGAATATGAATATGGACATGAACATTTTGGCCGATAACGATAACCGATAATTCTTTATATTTGAAAGCCGATAAATCTAAATCAAAATTGTATATAATTTTTGAGAGCCTGATTACAAAAACAAAAGTCTCACCATTAAAATCCATGTCCCAAACACACAATTATAATGTTCTCATGATAATTTTATGTAGCCGATATGACAGCACATATATACTGTAACTTTATTTTCCTTTTTTGAACTGATTCCAATCATATTTCAAGCAATTCAAAACCCTCATGTTGAACAGTGCGCATCTGAAGCGTCTCAGCTGGAGGAAATAATACACTATTTATCAACTTTAATATAATGATAACATTAAAAATGAACATTTATCGGCCGATACCGGAAATATTGGATTTGAATATGCATATTCTTAAAAGTCATTATTGCAGTGATTATTATGTTTCTAGCATGTTATATGTGTGGCAGAAGTTCTTCTTACTCTAATAGCTTTTCCTTTCTAAAACAACCATGTATGAAGAACATCATGGCCATATTCCAGGATCATAAAGCCAAGATTCATCGGACTGCGGAAGAATGATTGGGAGGATCATGAAAACAATCATTTTCACACATGAATCGGCTCCTTAAATTCATTGAAAGTCTTCTGCAGGAGACTTTACAGAGAGCTGGATTCTTGCACTGACAATACAAGATCTTGACACAAAATGATGCAAATAACATCACAAAATTAAATTAACATTTACTAAACTGTCAGCAGGACTAACCAGTGCACTGACACTGAAATCAAGTGATAGACAAAATCTTCTTGTTGCTTGTTGTAAGTGTGTGTGTGTATTGGCAAAGTTCAGTTTATACCTTGAAAATCAGTACCAGAGGTTGTAACATCAATACTTTGTTTATATATTTAAGCCCATATCCATTCCATTATTGCCTTTTTAAAAACATCAAACCAAATCTAAAATCGTGAAATTTCCCAGAGAGCAAAATTAAGTGAAAAAAGGGGAGACTGAGAAAAAGAAGTATGTATTGATCTTACATTCAAGTTTAACTGGTGCCAGACCAGTCAAAGCAACACACACAACAATGATATTTTAACCAATGAGATCATCACAGTGATTAAAAAAATACTTCACTTAATGCTTCCTAAAGTGTTTCTTTTTCCGAGGTTCGAAAGTCGAAATCGTCTCATTTTAAATGTTCGATAAGAAAATAGCACCAATTTCTTATGCAACCCAATTTTTGTATTTTCAAGCTCTAGGACAGTAGTAATTCAAGTGGTTTCCTTCCTCCGCATGCATTACTTCTCAGTGAAGGTTTGGTGTTTTGTGCCTTTAAAGCAGGGCTATTCAATTGAGGACCTGAGAAACGCTTTCGTTGCGAATATTTTAGCAGTTATTATGTGTGTCCCTTATGTGTCCACTGAACCAGCGATACCAATCATTCGTAAATTAATCATTCTTTTGGTTCAAATTCTTTTCTTTCCGTGAATTGGCCAAGCGAACTCATAGATATCCATAATAAAGGCTAGATGTCTCGTCCGCGCTGCTGGCCAATGGAGGTCGACGTCCGCACTGGCGGCCATCTTGTCACAGGCAGCTCGCTCACTCGTAACATTGTGTTTTAATGGTGCATGTACTTTTTAAATAACCATAACTTGCTAAATTTTCTACCGATTTTCAAACGGGTTCGTTTGTTATAAACGTCAGAGATGTAGTTATGACACTGCACACTTATGAATAATAAGTGTATCAATAAATAATCGTCCAGAATTATAGCCACGTTAATAACGTTTGTAAGAAACCAAACCGTTTGTAAATCCGTCAAGATTTCAGCGAGATAAGGTATTTGTGTTGGTGCTGATCACTCATCTTACATCAGGCACCACAGAGCCCGCCAGAACGCTTGCCTGTGACAAGATGGCCGCCGGTGATGACGATAGAGACTCCGCCGTAAGACATCTAGCCTTTATTATGGATATCTATGAGCACACTTGCATAACGTTCTGAAACGACTCGGATTCGTTCGGACCGCTCCGTCACTGAATCATCTGAAGCGGTTTCTCGGTCAGTAACAACTAATAAAGAACAAATCGCACTGTTTTCAGTTGTTTTACTAGTTTTCTTTGAACTACGCAGAAGGCCCCAGCGGATAACGCAACGCAAGCTTAAAGAAGTTGCGTTTATTCCCGACACTATTATTAAACAGCGTTGCGACATCCAGTGAGAAGCATTTCAATTCGACACACCTCTCTGACGAACCACAAATCAATCCATGATTTAACTAGTTTTAAATCGGATGAAACCGCCTCTACATTCACCAACACGACTGATGAGGAATACAGCAGAAACATTGTGCCATGAGCAAAGTTAGAAGACTTTAAATCCCCTAATCTCCACCCTTACAAACATTTACCTTGAATGTAACATTACTGTATTAGATTTATTAGGCGGGTAGAGGAAAATATAATACATTTTTGTTATGAAATTTAGTTTTTACCTGTGTTTAGGCGTTGTTTATACAGTGGTAGTGAGTGAGTAGCCATGCGTGGTTACCAAGTCTCACTCTCAGAATATTTTCATTTAAGCCTATAATAATATAATTCTTACAAATAGCTATAAGCTTGTATAATTCATATATATGTTCCAAGGAAAATTGTACACAGCTTTAAATTAGTTATTTATTATGGTCTTATAAATCTGCATACTGTTGGGCACCACATTTCCAAGTAAATACAATACTTTTGTTTTAGGTTTAGTTTTAGCGTATTTATTGATACTGTTATGTTTCAATAAATAATAAATAATGTTTCAATAAATAAGCTAAACCCACCGGCCCACCTCAACTTTTCGATTTAATAATCTGGCCCTCGAATGAAGCTAATTGAATAGCCCTGCTTTAGAGGCACGCACCAAACGGAGTTGATCTAATGCTTTTCTTCCACTCTTCCAGTCTGCCGCTGGTTGTCCTGACCCAAAACTTCTTGAGCCAAACTTTGACATTTCAGACTTTACAAAGAAGAGCAAGCTTTGAAAGTCCCACAGTGTTTACACTCCATAGTTCTCTGCACATTGAACTGGGATAGAACATATTTAAAGTATGAAAAGAAAGACACTTGATCATGAAATTGGAGGTAAATCTATACATTACTTCTGGAAGTTAAAGACTACATCCCTGAGTTCATAACGGTACCAAGAATGTCAAGATGGGAGCCAACAATCTATAGACCTCAGGTCTTTCTTTTGAATTTCCCTCTTCGTTTTCCTTTCTTCCAACTCTTCATCTGTTCTAAATCATATAAGAGAAGGTTATCATCCTCATCTTCATCATCATCTGTGTACCAGGGGCCCCAGACCCCCCCATTATACTGAGGATTGGAGCGATAATCTTTGGGAGGGTAACGGCACGGCACAGCTGTCTTGTTGTACCGTAGAAGCCTGATTAGCATCTTCTTCACCACATGTGGGTATCGTCGGGAAAGATCCACTCGTTCATATGGATCAGCTGTAATGTTGAAGAGCCATATAGACTTGCCTCGATCCCAGCTCACACGCTCATTTTGCCAACGATTGGCCAACAGCAGGGTGGAGAAAGTCTGCGGTGGGATCCAGTCACTATATCCTGGCACACCAGTAAGAAGCTTCCAGTCACCGACACGGAGAGCCGCCCGAATGGCCGTGTTCCAGATCCCAAAGCCTGCTTTCCAGGAGCCATTCTTGGCTTTGGTGTAGATGGGGTCTATGTTGTGGAGAATATCCATTCGAGGTGAAGGACGTCCCTCACTGATGGCTTCCCAGACATCATAGCCATCAAGACTCTGGTTCTCATCTAGCGTACCTTCACCAAGCATCACCAGTGTTGGGTACCAATCAGTAATATGAATGAGAGCCCTGCTTCTAGTGCCCTTTTTGACCAGTAAAGGACTATGTACGAACCCTACCGCCCGTATACCTCCCTCCCAGTACGACCCTTTACTGCCTCTTAGTGGCCAATTGCTGCCTCCTGCCATTGGTTGGCCTCCATTATCTGAGGAGTACACCATAACCATGTTGTCATAATATCCATACTGCTTGAGAGCAAGAGTTAGATTGCGTACAGCCTCATCCAAGCAGCTGACCATTGCAGCATATTTACGACGATGTAAGTTTGGGATGGACTTGTAGCGTTCGAGGTAGCGAGCAGGAACCTGTAAGGGAGAGTGTACTGCCTGGTACGCCAAGTAGAGGAAGATTGGCTGATTAGGATTGTGAGATTCAAGGATTTTCTCAGCCTTTTGAGTATACATAATGGTGGAGTAGATGCCATGGTCCTGCTCCCAGGCAGCTTCTTCACCCTCGTGAAGATCGTACCCACACATACTCGGGCCGTCACATTTGTAATGGTTGTAGTAGTCGCCGGTACCCAACAAAGAGCCAAAGAAGGTGTCAAAGCCACGCTGCGTAGGCATACAACCTCGCTTATAAAACCCAAGGTGCCACTTTCCCACCATATGAGTAGAGTACCCAGCATTCTTCAGTTTCTGCGGAAGGGTGATGTTCTCCAAAGGGAGGCAATTCGGCTGAGTGGGTCGGATGATGGAATGCTGGAGGCCAGTGTGGATTTGATATCTAGGACATAAAATGCACTAAATTAGTAACAAAAATGACAAGCACTGAATAAAACAGACATTTGATCATCCTCTGAGATGATACACTGGTTTGCTCTAATGGCCTTATCATACATCCGGCGCAAGTGTTTTTTTCTAGTTTCAGCCTGACGCAATTATCATTTTCAAGTTGCTAGCCTATGGGTGAGCTGGTCTGAAAACGAGGTGTGTTCAGGCGCATTGTTGGCGCGTTGCTATTTTGAGCAACTGAAATAGACTGCTAAATCTAAATCAATGGCGCAATTTTTTTTTGTTATTTAAAGAGCGCATTAATAATATGGGCGGGTCCACAATGCGCTTACACTTTGCTTATTACACACACATGGCCGCAAATAGCCAAATATTAAAAATAAAAGGATTACGTGTAGCTAAATTCTGGAATCCGGCTTGTCCCGTAGATGGTCTGCTTGCGTTTTTAACCTCGCTCCCGAGCAGATCCGGTTGCTCTCTGGAGACGCGTTCAGTTTTTCCACTTGCAAATTCCTCCATGTAAATAGCGAATCCGCCATGGCGCGAGCGCAACTGGCTTTTAAAGGGAATGGGAGATGAGACTTTGATTGGTTAATTGCACGTTACGCCCAAAACACACCCATTACTCATTAAGAGAATAGGGACGACCCTTTTAGACCATGCGCCAGGCCCGCCGACCATTTCCCATCGTTAAACTAGTAAAAGTGGATTCGAACACACACTAAGTGCACTTGCGCCGTGCGCTTTAGACCATCCGCTTAGATCGTTAAAATAGGGCCCTTACGTTTTGGGTTTGGGAAGGGAAATGATTTCATTCTGATTGAAACAAAAGATGTCCATATAAACTCAGCTAGTGTGCTTTGTAATGTTGTAATCTTGTAATATGTAATGTTATATGGCAGATCAAGTGAATTGGATCGGGACATGGCATTAGGCCAAATTCAAACCTGCGTCCCCTCGAGACATCAGGACTTATGCACCACCACAGTTCCAACCACAGCTTCATTCTGTAACTCCCTTCAAATTCATCTTTAAAGCATTAGTTCACCCAAAAGTGACGATTCACTCATCATTTACTCATTCTCATGTTCTTCCAAACACATTTAGATGGTCTTTCTTTAATGCTACAACCGGATGATTGAGTCAGTGATTTCAACTCAAGAACATTTAAAGAACTGGATCAACTTATTGACAGGATCTGACAAAGAACAATTTGTTGTAGGTACAATTGTTTGTTGTAAATAGGCCATTGGTACTTTCTCTCATAAAGGACCGCAATGGAAACAAGTTTTTAACTTTATTGTGTTATCCTTGACAAATGAGTGTATTTCACTACTTTCTTTAAACTAAAAACACTTCTTAACACAACCCAAATGTCCCACAAGACATGTTTTTTTGGTCACCAAAGCCACTGGGAAACACGAATCCCCAACCAGCCTGTGCTGGAAGACTTGCTGACCCATGTTCTGCTGTTCGCTCCAACATCCCTCCCACATCTGCTTTCAATAAGGGGAACATACTCCTCTCTACAGCTAATCAAACTCAGACCACAGAGCATTAAAACACACTCCCTCGTTCCCACTAGACCAGCCATTCATTACACCCTTTCTCTTTTCAGTAACCCAGACACTAACCATCTCAAGGCCCTTTCGTCTGACAACAGCAGACTCATCCTAAGATTTGAGATCATTCAAATTCATCTTTAAAGAATTAGTTCACCCAAAATTGACGATTCTCTCATCATTTACTCATTCATGAGTCAGTGAGTTCAACTCGAGAAAGTTTAGTTAAGTGGATCAACTTATAAACAGGATCTGACTCAAAAGAACAATGTGTTGATAAATAGGACATTGGTACTTTCTCTCATTAATTCTCATAAACACCCCGATGAGAGCTAGGGCAGATGTTACTCATGCTGGGTTTACACTACACAAGTTTGGCACGATCCGTGTGACGTTGGGCGTCGGGACACAAGAATCAATCGCTTTATCAAGTCAAGTCACCTTTATTTATATAGAGCTTTTTACAATACAGTTAGACTGTGAGTTTTGAATGCTTAATGTCTCCTAAATGCAAATTTTGTAATTGTTTTGGAACACACCAGATTATTCATAACCATAAGGCTAACATATTCATACTAAAAGCTAAAAAACTTACATTTTTATTTCAGGGGGCCTTTAAAGCCATAGAGTGGATTTAGAAGGCTTGTATAAATGAAGTGCACAAGGAATATCATACTTTTATTATGCTTATTTGTAATTTTGACAATTTTTGCCATTTAGCCCCCTTTATTTCCCCCTTTAACAGTTTAGGCTTGTTCATTATGGCAGTGTTTGGTTGCCTCCTGGTTCTGGAGAGCCACAAAACTGCATATTTTGAATCCCTTCCTTATCCAAACCCCCTGATTTTCTCAATAACTCATCCACTTTTTACTAGAGTGCTCATGAACTGAATTAGGTGTGTCAAATAAGGTGCAAAGATAAGGAACCAAAGGGAACCACAGTCCTATTCATCGTAATGTCTGATTTTGGCAGATTACGAGAAGTTCATTTCTTTTATCAGATGGTAGTGATAATACCTTAAAAGGGTAAAAGCTAAACGAAGAACTGAACGCACTGCTTATATGAGCAGATGTGATGTTTTTGGACTTCTGATCTAAAGGCATCATCCATCAGAGAAGCAGAAAGAGTTTCAACTAAAACATGACCAATGCCCGTCTCTTTCCATTACATTTAGCATATTTTAGACGACTGTTTTAGCTTTAAGAGATGGCTAAGCATTTGCCAAGGTAAGCCTCTTTTTCTAATGTAATCTTTTTGGTGAAGCCCTTTTTTTGGGTGAAAAGCGCTTTAAAGATTAAGCAATTCACACTTAAAAAAATGGCAATTTAAGACAATTTAACTATTAAAAGTAGCTGAAACATTTCCATTTGCAGTGTTTATTTAAAATAATATTGTCAACAAATATTAAAGGGGTTATATCATAAGAAATGACATAAACGCTGTCCACACTTACTCGTCAGTGATGCCAAGTCAGAAACTTGTCCCGTCATGGGCTGATAATAAGCAGAATACATTTCATTTTTAAGGTACCATAAACAACTTCCATTTTCATTTTTAACCTTTTTTAACCATTTCAGCATGGATTGTTTTATGAATCTGTCACAATAATAACTTCTAAGGGGCAAAATATGCTTTACATTTTAATTATTCATATACAACGCCATAGCAACCACACAAACACCCTAGCAATTGCCTAGCAACACCACAGCAACTACCCAGAACACCCTAGCAATAGCCTATAAATGCTCTAGCAACCACTTAGTAATGCCTTAGCAAACACCTAGGGTGTTCTGGTTGGTTGCTAGGGTGTTGCAAGAGTGTTATGGGTGGTTTCTAGGGTGTTGCTAGGCGGTTTCTAGGATGTTCTGAGTGGTTGCTATGGTGTTGTTATGTGTTTGCTAGGATGTTTTTGGTGGTTGCAAAGGTGTTGCTAACCAGTTGCACCTAGAACACCGTAGCAACTGCCTATCAACACTCTAACAACCACCCAGGATACCCTAGCAACCGCATAGTAACAGCATAGCAACCACCTAGCAACAACCCATAATATCTTAGCAACCACCCAGAATGCCTTAGCAATGATGTAGCAGCTCCATAGGAACCAGCCATGTCTACCTAGCGAACCCGTTCCAACTGAGTGCCAGGTTTTGCCACAGAAGGCACCACAGAAAATGTACAAATCTAGTTTGATGTAATATTTTACTGTACACAATATGTGTGTAAACATGGCCAAAAAAAATTCTTCAATGTATCTTTTCATTGTCTCTAATTTGCAAATGAATGTGTTTTTTGGGCAACATGTAATGAGAGTAATAACTTGGCAACATTTTCATAATATCTCATATTTCAAAGAAATATTCATAATTTCTTCCCTGGTGTGAAACTGATGCGTCTCGTATTCTGCTCTGAAGCCGCACTACAGTTGCCCTGAGATGTTCATTTACAACAATCAGTTTGAAAAGTAGTTACAAAACATTCCCACAAGAGTGTCATTGAGTCGACGCCAGCCACCCTTTAAAGACCAAGCAGAGGGCATATGCTCCTTACAGAATAAAACTGACTTATATTCTTTGATGTGTGTGATGTTAATCTCTATTCCTGAGTGTTCTCCATCTAATCAAACCACACAACACGCTCACACACACCGTGAAGTGCCTGACACACAGTATATCACCCCAGTAAATCCCCGTCTCACAGCCAGAAAGCCATTGACTGTAAATGACTGAGGGAGGAGTTGATTCATTCACTGCTTCCAAAGCAAATTGCCAAAAGAGATTCCTAGCAACCCTTCCCGTTTCCCGAGGCGTGGACCAGATGTTTCGCTGTGGGAACACTGGAGTCAGGCATTCGACACATGCACACTCAAACACCAACTGGTTTGCATCATTGAATCATTATTGTCCTGTTATCACTGTAAAGCTGCTATGAAACGACCTGTAGTGTATAAAGCGCTATAGAAATAAAGGTGACTTGATCATGCATAAAGAAAATGACTTTCAACATGAACCTACATTTTGTGGAAGCTTGTTTCCACGACACAAAATAAAAAATAAAAAAGGTAATTGTGACTTTTTATCTTACAATTCTGACTTTTTTTCTCACAATTGCAAGTTTACATCTCACAATTCTCAGAATAGCATGATATAAACTCGCAATTCTGAGGAAAAAAGATTTTTTTTATAAGACTTGAATTTATATCACAATTCTGACTTTATAACAGGCAATTGCAACTTTATATCATCCAACTCTGACTTTATCACACAATTCTGACTTTGTAACACAAAATTGCGACTTTATATCATCCAACTCTGACTTTATCACACAATTCTGACTTTATATCACGCAACTCTGACTTTATATCACACAACTCTGACTTTATATTACACAACTCTGACTTTATATCACACAACTCTGACTTTATATCACACAACTCTGACTTTCTATCACACAACTCTGACTTTCTATCACACAACTCTGACTTTATATCACACAACTCTGACTTTATATCACGCAATTCTGACTTTATATCACACAACTCTGACTTTATAACACACAACTCTGACTTTATATCACACAATTCTGACTTTATAACACACAACTCTGACTTTATAACACACAACTCTGACTTTTTAACACACAACTCTGACTTTATATCACACAACTCTGACTTTATATCACACAACTCTGACTTTATATCACACAACTCTGACTTTATATATCACACAACTCTGACTTTATATCACACAACTCTGACTTTATATCACACAATTCTGACTTTATATATCACAATTCTGACTTTATAACACACAACTCTGACTTTATAACACACAACTCTGACTTTATAACACACAACTCTGACTTTATATCACACAACTCTGACTTTATATCAGCCAACTCTGACTTTATATCACACAACTCTGACTTTATATATCACACAACTCTGACTTTATATCACGCAATTCTGACTTTATATCACACAACTCTGACTTTATAACACACAACTCTGACTTTATATCACACAATTCTGACTTTATAACACACAACTCTGACTTTATAACACACAACTCTGACTTTATAACACACAACTCTGACTTTATATCACACAACTCTGACTTTATATCACACAACTCTGACTTTATATATCACACAACTCTGACTTTATATCACGCAATTCTGACTTTATATCACACAACTCTGACTTTATATCACACAACTCTGACTTTATATCACACAATTCTGACTTTATATCACACAACTCTGACTTTATATCACACAATTCTGACTTTATAACACACAACTCTGACTTTATAACACACAACTCTGACTTTATAACACACAACTCTGACTTTATAACACACAACTCTGACTTTATAACACACAATTGCAACTTTATAACACACAATTCTGACTTTATATCACGAAATTGCAACTTTATAGCACACAAATCTGACTATATAACACACAACTCTGACTTTATAACACACAACTCTGACTTTATAACACGCAATTCTGACTTTATAACACACAATTCTGACTTTATATCACGAAATTGCAACTTTATATCACGCAATTCTGACTTTATTATTTAAATTAGTTCCTTTTTTGTTGTTGCTGTTGTTTAGGCGGAGGCTTTTTGGGGTTCCTGCCTCTCCCTGCACAGTATATGGATTGTATTTTCTTTCATATATTTCATATCGTGCAAATAAACGACCCTATTTTTGACAGATATAGTGTGGTATCTTGATATGTCCCACCTGCCGGTCATCAGCTGGCTCCTGGACGGGCTACACAGAGGCTGAACATAATAATTCTCCAGTTTCACTCCGGCTGAAGCCAGTCTGTCCAGTGTCGGAGTCTTTATCTCGGACCCATGATATCCCACGTCTCGAAAGCCTTGGTCATCAACCATGATGAAGATGATGTGAGGCTGAGAGGAAGGTTTCTCCACGTTATTCACGCGATTCGCATGAAAACTGCTCTTCCATGTTCCGTATGTTGAGTTGATAAATCCGCTAAAAGTAGTCAAAAGCGTCAGAAGAATCGCACTTCTTCCCATTCGTCCGTGCATTGCACCTAAAACCATTCGTTCCTATTTGTAAACTAGTTAAAATGAAAATCAGAACAGATGATACCACTACTTTAATCTTTTCACAGCGCAAAATAACACCGCTGCATGTCATGATATCAGGAATAACAGGCGCGCTTGGAAATTAGGTTCGCGATTTGTCCGACCGTGTTCACTTCATTTTCAAAAACCTGAATATGTAAACGGGTCGTATAGCATAATTTCCAAGCATCAAGACGTTGTCGACCCGTCTGTCCTCAAAGACAGACCTGAACTGTCTCATCTTTCGCTTAAGTTGCTCTTCAGTGCCATACAGACAGTGAGGTCCGATTCGCGAATGAATCATCCGTTTGAATCGATTCATGATTCTGTTGAACCGATTCGCAAATCACAGGATCGTTAGGATAGCTGAGACTGAAAATCTGTATTTAGAATTTGGGACGGAACACATCAGTTGACCACTAATGTGAATTTTAGTGTAGGCTAATATTTATATCACCAATACAAGTAAACACTTAGATTTAGCCTATAGATGTGAAACAATCTAAAAACTTTCAGATATTAGTATGTAAATAAAATATGTTGTTGTTGTTGTATTTTGACAAAAAAGAACACGTTAAATAGCCCGTGTAAACGTTTAGTAACACTTTTAAGTACCGAGGACTTGCAACCGAATAAGTGAATCGCTTTTTAACGGGTTCATTTAAACGAACCGATTCACTAAAACGAATCGGACAACGCCGCTGGGAATGTGGTTTAGTAACCCTTTGTATGTAATGCATTTCTTTTTACAGATTGTCTTTATACTTTTTCCCCCAAAGCATGAAGTAATAAGCAGGGTCTAATCAGTTTTGGTTACTCTCTGTGCTAATGGTCCACTTGGAAACATTTCTAATATTTGGTTATAATTTCATATTCCCCTAATCCCCTTGATATTAAGTTTTATAGGGTTTTTCCTGCATTTCATGATTCCAGCTGCGCTCATGTATTGCATTACTTCTGCGGCAATGTTTTATTTCCAAACAAAATAAATCTTATCCTTTTGTCAAGTGCATTCAAATGTCATAATGCATAATTTTCCACATGCTTAACAGAACAATGAAGAGAATTCTCCCACTGCATTACTCATGAAAGCTAATGCATCCTCAGGAAGGAATCTGACTCAGCTTGGCTTGCACTGAAAGAAAAGGATGAATCTCAATGGGCGTATTGTACTAAACCACATGTCCATGCAATAAAATAAGATCCTTCATGCAGGATAGGCTTTCCTTATTAGATACAGGGTCTAAACATGTTACTTTAGTGGAAAAAAAATATAAGTCAATTATATTCTCTAAGATCCTGACAGCTCGGGATCGGATCTCTTCGAATTCTCCAAAGCTGCATGTTCAACCAGCTTACAATTTAATTTAATTTTTAAATGTAATCTGACTACAACTATGACATAAATTTGACTGTTTGTTTCGCAAGAGCTTCTAACGGCTGCAGTGACGCAATTATTTTACCACGCAGCGATTGGCTCTTTTATTTAGAGGGCGGGGCTTATTCCGCCATACTGAGCGTTGCACTTTCTCCCATTGATCTGAGAGCACTGATGATCCCAAGGCGTCATATACTGACGCTTTTGCCAAAGCGTCTATATCCAACGCACATGGCACCCTTTAGCGTCAATATGAGACACAGGTATATGGCGCCTCCTAGTGGTCTAACCCTAACACTACCCCAGACCTAAACCTACCCATAACCGAAGCGTCTTATATTGACGCTAAAGGGTGCCATGTGCGTCGGATGTAGAGCGTCAGTATATGACGCCTTGGGATGAGAATGCGTTGTTGGATGTTTTCTAAAGGGTTTATCCTCATAAGAAGAGTTTTGCTCAACTCAAACGCGATTCTAACGCTTGCACAGATTCAACATGTCTGGACACAATGGACCCTAAATAATACCGTTTTGTTATCATATTTGACTGAAGTCTGGCATGCAGTTTATTGATGGAATCTTTATTGTAGTGTTTTGATGAACATTATAGACGTGTGCCAGACATAAAGCTCCAGATCCATTAGTACTATTGTGGGAAGGAGCTGAAAATAATCACTTCATTCAGAGACAGAATCAATTATTAGGCCTATAATGGCTTCTTTTTTATTATGTTGCACGAATATGAATTGACATAATAATCAAACGCCAATCATGCAAACAATATTTGTTCCATCACGACTTAACAAGCCGATAGGCAGATATTATTGCAGATCTATCCCTGTGTTTAACCAAATATTAGATTAAGAAATGTGACACAGGTGGTAACATTGTTTTTTGTGGGTGTAGATTTGATAATCATGCTTTACATCATCAGCTTTACTTGTCAATAAAAACTATTATCATAGATCTTTCCTCAAAGTAATTCCCTAACTTCAATCTTATGATCTTATTTTTATCTCTTGTTCTTTTTCAGACAATACTTACATTTTGTAATGTTAAACAATGATCTACTTTCAAACCCACATTAACACCAGAAATGTCTGTTCAAAAGCTTAGTTTGTTTCTGTTTTTCTCTTCAAATACCGAAGATATTGATATGTGGGGATTTGGACAGAGATTTTATACTGTTATCTGTGCTTTTCATTAGTCAAATCCCAATCATTGGCCTGAGCATGAAAGGCTAAAACTGCAGAATATCCCAGTGAATCGTTGGAGATGCACCGAATTCCAGTTGTTGGCAAAACTTCAGTGATTTTAGGTAAGATTATCAGATAATCATTTTTCCAGTGCAGTGAACGGATATTGCAACAAGTCGGAGCAGCGAAGAGACGATAGAAGAGAGAGATCTTATCTTTAACAAAGGAAAAGTGTGATTCAGACAAAACATTTTTGCTTTGCAATTCCATGAAGCATTCTTTCCATTATCGCACACCTTAAAGAGATACTTTCACAGTACATATTATTCCAAAGAATCTTTACAGAGAAATATCCTAATATGTGAGCAAGCAAAAGGCAAATATGGCAAAGAAAAACTTCCTAAGACATTACATATGGAGCTCATCTTCTGAAATATGTAAACAAAAGTCCATATGCCCAAATACAGTCACAGAATATTTATAATAACAGTCGAACAGAGAATGACATTCATTATTTATAATATGGCGTAAAACGTTTTACTTACATCAGCCAGTGAGAAAAAAAGGGGGAGGGAGACATTTGCATGTGTTTTTTTTTTTTTTTTTTTTGCATTAAGGTCGTTTAACGGAGTGTGTTTGTGCATTTCTTACAGTCACTAAAACACTGAGGCTCCAGGGAGTTCAGAGGAGTGTGTGTGTGTGTGTGTGTGTGTGTGTGTGTAATGGCCTGTGCGTTTCTCCCTTCACACACTCCTTCACTGCAGCATGTCATCCGACAGCTGCTCTGTGTCATGCGGGGTCGCCAGGTGTGCACAGCAGAACTAGCAATGGCCAATCAAACATGAGAAAGCCCAATGCGATTTGGGGCTGTTTTGTGTGTGTGTGTGTGTGTGGGGGGGGGGGGGGGGGTTTCTGCAGCACTTTTCTAAACATCCATGATTGACTACGCAACAATGAAATCTTTACATATTATTTATATATTTATAGCCAAATGTTTGGTGCATTGAGCCGATTCTCCTCCAAATAGCCTATATTTAGACATTTTCAGGTTTGCTGAAGTAATTAAAACAACAGTTTTTGGGGTAAAAAGTGTCCAGCACTCATTCGTTCACCAGCATTTGTATATTTTGTACATTATAGGCTATATATTCCGCCAAGACCAAAGATATCATTGTCATATCCATAACCACCATGCCAAACACCCCGAGAGTTGAAATTCTGTGAATATCACAGTAGCTTAACCCTAATAAATGCCAGAATGCTTGACTGACAGGTGACCGGAAAACACAACATGTGCATATAAACTTTACTGTCTATGATATAACCTTTACTGTGTATGATATAACCTTTATGTGTATGATATAACCCGAGCACCACAACTCCCCTCGCATCCCATGTGGACATCCCCGTCTCCTGTGTGTCTCAAAGCCCCGAGGGAGGACCGGTTTCCACTTCACAGACCCTGCTGTGCCTCATTAAAATAGTGCAATCTACGGGAATTTATAGAAATACAAAGATCTTTTACATTTAGGCTACATTTAATCATTTAGCAGATGTTTTATCCAAAGCGACTTACAAATGAGGAGAACAATAAGCAATCAGAACAAGAGCTGTAGCAAGTCCCAGTTTAGCACAGTAATCAGAAAAACAAATAGAATAGCTATTCTATTGGTATATCTATTGCTAGCAGGCGCTGACGAAAAAGGTGTGTATCGTGAATACACATGTATGCTAACTGCAATCTATGGGAATTTGTAGGTACAAAAAAACGAGTATGAAAGCAGGGAGGAGAAGCTTTGTGAGCAGAACACGAGGTTCAGTGTGTAGATCTACAACACTTAACGTTGTATCTCGAGTACGTGCACGAGCAGAGGAGTGTGTGTGTGTGTGTGTGTGTGTGTGAGGACTTCACCACAGCTGAGAAAACTCTTGCTTTCGCTCCGCACGCGGCAAATGTCACAGATCCCACGAGCTCCCCTTGCTTTACAAGAGAGCTCACTATTTATAACCGCAGAGCCGTGGTGTGTGTAGAGCATGGTGTGTGTAGCTGTGTTGTAGATGAATGAGTGTAGTATGTAGTTGTACAGTAAAGCCTTCTTTCAGCTCGCTCCTAAAGATCTGTTTGGCTTCTGATTGGATGCCAGTCACGGACTGTTGGTCGGAGGATTCGTGTGTAACTCAAACTCTTACCTGCTATTTAGATGAACAAACAATCTGCTCTTTTTCTTTTAATAATACGAGAAAATTAAATGCATAAACGTTCTGGAGAAGATCTGAGAAGTGTTTGCTTGGAGATTTGGTGGCGGGAATGTAATAACACAACTCTTCTTAAAGGGATACACCCAAAAATGAACATTTATCCAGGAATTTAGTTTTTAAAAATTTTCCCCCCATGTCATCACATTGTTTAGAGCATAAGAAACAAATTATGGTATAAAAAATATATATATTTTATTCTTAATCTGTCATTGATTACTCACCCTCAAGTTGTTCTGAATTTCTTTCTTTATTCTGATGAATGTCAAGAAACCAAATAGTTGATGGACCATTGACTTCCATAGTTTTTTTTTTTT